CAAAAATGACTCGTCCACTCGACTGGCCGATAGACTTGCCCTTGGCTGGGCTTTGGAGCCTCTAAGCTGGTTTGAACCATAGTCTTTTTAGCCTATGCAGACAATCTTTCGGTATCTTCATCTTTAGATGGTAAAGTACCATAACAGAGTCGAAACGGCTAAAAATGCACAAAAAGCGTAGGTTATAGTTCATGAAATAGTGGATTTTAGTCTCCACAGAATTTTTTGTCAACGGGTCGAAATGATTAAAAATGGCCAAATATCATGAGATATAGCATATGAAATCATGAATTTTGGCATTCACAAAATTATTTACCAACTAGTCAAAATGACTGAAAGGGCAAAAAATTACGGGTCATAACTCACGAAATCATAAATTTTTTGCCTCCCCAAAATTATTTGCTAAGGGTCAAAATAATTGGAAAAAGCCAAAAATCATAGGTTATAACTCATGAAATAATGAATTTTGGTCTTTATGAAATTATTTGCCAATGAGTTGATACTACTATAAATGACAAAAAATCATAGGTTATATACCTCATGAAATCGTGTAGTTTGACCTCAATGGAATTATTTACCAACGGGTCCAAACGGTTAAATTTGAAAAAAAAACATGTGCTATAGCTCACAAAATCATAAATTTTGGTCTCTAAAAGTATTTGCCAATTGGTCAAAATAACGAAAGGGCATAAAATCGAGGGTTGTAGCTCACAAAATCGTGAACTTTGGCCTCCACAAAATTAATTTTCATGGGTCAAAACAACTGAAATTGATAAAAATATTTGCTAATGTGTAGAAAAATTGAAAATAGTTCGTGAAATCGTGTACTTTGACCTCTATGAAATTATTTGCCAGCGAATCGAAATGACTAAAAATAGGCAAAAATTACGAATTCGTGAATTTCAGCCTCCCCAAAATCATTTGCTCACTGGCCCAAATGACTAAAGATAATAGAAAATTATGGATTATAGCTCACAAAATTGTAAATTTTAGCATCCACAAAATTATTTGCATGTGGGTCAAAATAACTAAAAAATGCCAAAAATTATGGGTTATAGAATCGTGAATTCCGACCATTACAAAATTATTTGGCAACTGTTCGAAATGACAAAAAGGCCAAAAACTGTAGTTTATAGCTAATAAATTTGTAAATTTTAACATCCACAGAATTATTTGCCAACGTGTCAAAATAACTAAAAATAGCCAAAAATCATGGGTTAAGGATCACAAAATAGTTAACTTTGGCATCCATGAAATTATTAGCTAACAAGTCAAAAATACATAAAATGATCCAAAATCATGGGTTATAGCTTATAAAATAATGTATTTTGATTATTACAAAATTATTTGCCAACGAGTCCAAATGAGTAAACATGTCAAAAAATCATGTGTTGTAGATCACGAAATCGTGAATTTTAACTTTTACAAAATTATTTGCCAGTGGGTCCAAACAATTAAATAGGCCAAAACTGTGGGTTATAGCTCATGAAACTATGAATTTTGGGCTCCATGGAATTACTGCCAATGGGTCAAGATGACCAAAAATGCTTGTAACATCGCAGGTTATAGTGTTCAAGCCGTGATATTTATTCTTTGTGAAATTATTTGTCAATGGTTCGAAACGACTAAAAATGCCCAAAAATCATGTGTTATAATTCACGAAATCTTAAATTTTGGCCTTCAAAAGTATTTGCCAACTGGTCGAAACAACTAAAAATGGAAATAAATCATGGGTAACTCACGAAATTGTGAATTTTGACATCCCCAAAATTATTTTCCAATGGGTGAAAATAATAAAAAATAGCTAAAAATCACGGGTTATATCTCACGATATAGTAAATTTATCAAAAAAAATTATGTACTAAAAGGTCAAAATAACTAAAAATAGCAAAAAATACTTGGTTATAGCTCACGAAATAGTAAATTTTGGCCTCCACGAAATTATTTACAAATGAGTCGAAACTACTAAAATGGCTAAAATCATAAGTTATATAGCTCACGACATCTTGAGTTTTGGCCTCAAAAAATATTTTCCAAGTGGTTGAAACTTGAAATAACTAAGAATGGAAAAATATCGTGAGTTATAGCTTACAAGTTCGTATTTTGGCATCTACAGAATTATCTACGAGCGTGTCGAAATGAGTAAAAATGGGCAAAAATCATTAGATATAGCTCATAAAATCATGAATTTTAGCCCCTAAAATACTATTTGTCACCTAATCAAAATGACTAAAATGACCATAAAATATAGATTATAGCTTACAAAATTGTGATTTTTGATATCCACAAAATTATTTGCTAACGGGTCGAAACATATACAAATGTCCAACAACCGTTGGTTATAGTTCATGAAACCATGAAATTTGGCTTCTGTAAAATAATTTGCCAACTAGTCCGAATGACAAAAAATGACAAATAAAAAAACTCATGACTTATATGGTTATAGTTCATGAAATCATGAAATCTGGCTTCTGTAAAATAATTTGCCAACTAGTCCAAATGATAAAAAATGACAAAATAAAAAAAAGAACTCATGGCTTATATCCCACGAAATCATGAATTTTGGCCTCTACCAAATTGTAGGTTATAACCCTCAAATCGTGAGTTTTAGGCTCCTAAGAAATTTTTGATAATAGTTCGAAACAACTAAAAATGTCCAAAAATCATGAGTTATAACTCATGAAATAGTGTATTTTTGCCTACACAAAATTATTTACCAACAAGTCGAAATGAATAAAAATAGCCAAAAATTATAAGTTATAGCTCATTAAATCGTGAATTTTTGGGCTCTACAAAATTATTTACCAGCTGGACAAAAGGACTAAAAATGACAAAAAAAATCATGGGTTATAATGTGAACTTTTGACCTCTCCAGAATTATTTTCCAAGGTTCAAATCAACTGAAAATAGCCAAAAATCATAGATTATAGCTAGCAAAGTCATAAACTATGGCCTCTGCTAAATTATTTGCCAACTACTCGAAATGACTAAAAGTGGCAAAAAATCATGGGTTATAATTCACGAAATTATGAATTCTATCATCCACAAAATTATTTGCAAACAGGTCAAAACAATTAAAAATGGCTAAAAATAATTCGTTATAGCTCACAAAATAATGATTTTTTTGCCCTTATAGAGATATTTTCCAATTGGTTGAAATGACAAAAACAAACCAAAACATCGTGGGTTATGGCTCATGATATTGAAGTATTTCGACCTCCACAGAATTATTTGCCAATGGATAAAAATGACTAAAAAGGCAAAATATCATGGGTTATAGCTCATGAAATAGTGAATTTTGAACTCCAATTTTTTTCCCCAACTGGTAGAAATAACTATTTTTTTTAAAAAATGGTGAGTTGTAGCTCACAAAATTGTGATTTTTTACCTCAGCAGAATTATCTGCCAATGGGTTAAAACGACTAAAAATACCAAAAAATCATGGGTTATTGCTCATGAAATGATGTATTTGGACCTCCATGGAATTATTTGCTAAGGGGTTGAAACGTTAAAAATGGGCAAAAAAATATCGCTTATAGCTCATGAAATCATGAATTTTGATCTTCACAAAATTATTTGCCAACTAGTCAAATAACTAAAATGGCAAAAAAAAAGGATTGCAGCTCACAAAATTGTTAATTTTTGGCCTTCCAAAAATTATTTGCCAAGGGTCAAAACAATTGAATGTAGTCAAATATCATTGGTTGTAGCTCATGAAATCGTGAATTTTAGTTTATGCGAAGTTATTTGTCAGCTACTCAAAAATGATAAAAAATCATAGGTTATGGCTCACGAAATTATGAATTCCAGTCTCCATAAAATTATTTACCAACAAGTCAGAACAAGTAAAAATGGATAAAAATCATTAGTTATGCTCATAAAATCATGATCTTTGGCCTCCACAAAGATATTTGCAAATGGGTCAAAATGACTAAAAATGCCGAAGCATCATGGGTTATAATTCATGAAGTCATGTACTTGACCTCTATGGAAT